ATTTCAAAGCTAAAAGAAGACGATCCGAACTACAAGACATTAAAAATGTTACACTTAAAAAAAGCTTACTTAAAGCCTTTGCAGTTATCCGAAAATAAAAAAGGGATATAAAAGGTTTAATAGAGAGCAAGCTAGCTAATACCAACATTCTACAGATACTTTTATGATTGCATTTTAAAATAAATATTTTTAAAGTTTCATTCTCTAATAAGGTATAGTTAGTTACATTTTAAAATTTTTGTGAATTATAAGCTTAGTTTTTTATTTTGTTATGTATTTTTGTTGTAATAAAAAGGACACAACTCATAACGTGATCTTTTTTTGGTCAAACAAAGACGCAACTATGCAGTTACGTCGATATTTCACCGGAACGGCGACATAGTCAATGTACTATAAACAAACATTTTTAAATGGGAGCTATAATAAACATTTTTTTACAGTATTCAGACACTGAATCAACTGCAGAACCATCTTTAGGAAGCAGCAAATGGAAACTAGTCATTACATTATTTGGTAAGGAAGTCGAAGAAAAAATATATTTAAAAGAGTCTTCTGGAAATGAGTCACCTCAGACGAAAAAAATCAAAACCGAACATACTGTTAGCCCTAGAAGAATAAAAAAAAGTGTAATAGGCCAAAGCTGATGAGTAAAAATTTCTCTTACAAAACACATAAGTGTAAAATGTAAAAAAAAAAATATTTTAAAGAATATTGTGGATGACTTAAAACAACAAACTATGCCTTACAAATTGCGTTGGAACAGATAGAAAACAGTGTAACTGATGTTTTAAAGGAAATTTTTGGTAGGATGCTAAAAAGTAAAGTTTAAGGGTACACTAGTAGGCTACGCCATTCTAAGGAATTAAAAACATTTGCTGTTAGTTCACAATTTTACTCCCTAGGGGATACGGATATGTAAGGGAATAGTTTAATTTAGCCTTACCTGCACAGTCGACTATCAGAAAATGGTGTGGCAAAAATGATCGTACACCTAGTTATTGTGATGTAGCCTTTTCTGCTTTACAATGTAAAGTAGAAAAACTAAAAAGTCATAGTTACCAATTAATTTGTTCATTGATGTTGGATAAAATGAGCATCAGAAAAAAAAAGACATTGAACATGATAATAAATGCTATGGTTATGTTGACATTGTAAATTAGAAACAAAAGCTGGCAAATGAAGCTCTAGTTTTTTTAGTTACGAGTCATCGAGCAGCGTGGAAGGTACCAGTAGTATATTTTTTTATTAAATCTCTCTCTGGTGACGAGAAAGCCAATCTTGTAAAAAAATGTTTATTAAAATTATCTGCTATTGGTATAACCACGGTGTCAGTAACATCTGATGGGCCATGGCTACGTTATTGGGTTGCAATTTCAAATACATTAAGAATATAAACAGTTGGTTGGATCATTCAGATGCCAACGTAAAATCAAAAGTTTATTTTTTATTAGATGCTTGTCATATATTGAAACTTCTAAGGAATTGCTTGGCACATTTGAAAATCATCATTAACCTTGATGGTAATGAAATTAAATGAAATTACGTTAATAAGTTATGTGATCTTTCTAGAAAACCAAGGTTTGCATTTGGCTAACAAGATCAATAAATCATACATTTTCTGGCAGAGGCAAAAAATGAAAGTAAAATTGGCAGTACAAGTTCTGAGTAATAGTGTAGCTAAGTCGTTAGAGTTCCTACAAAAGGTCTTAAAATTAACAGTCTTTGAAAATAAATGAATAATGTTTTTAATGTGATAAATTCAAGAAATATACACAGTAAAGGTTATAAAAGTCCAATAAAACCCTTAGATATAGTAATAATTAAGTCATTTCTGCTGGAAACAATTTCTTATTAGATTTTTATTATATTTTAAAAAAATAGAGACATTATGTTTAATAAATTTCGTTTCTCGGCTCAAACTTTAAACGTCAGGTGTGTTAAGTGACAACTAAGAGTTCTGATATTGTTTTATGAATAAAAAAAAAAAAATACAAATATTTTAGTCCGCTTTAGAATCAGCTAATTTTAAAAGATACTCCGACAACAGATTCTAGTCTTGATTTGTATATATTTGCCAATTAACAAAATTTTGGAGAGAAAATTGTATTTTAATTATATCTGCAATCTTTAACATATCGTGATGTAATTTTATCAATACTATATTTTTTTTCAGTGCAATTTTTAAGTTAAAAGAAACAACCTCCAGTATAGCTTCTATATTTTGGGTGACTTAGTTTGTCTACTCAACAATTTCCACTTAAACAGTATGTATAAAAAACACCTCCTTACTATAGGAAAAATATATTATGGAGGCCCGATACATGTCTTAAACCTACCTAATTGTTACTATTTAACTAGACATATTTTACAAACTTATCCTTGCATTATTAGCTGTTATTTAAATAACATTTTACACAAGCAATTGATATTTCTTGAAAGTGATATTATTGTGACAAAAACCTTACAAGATATTAGTCAATAACTTTTGCTTTAAAATTAACTTTTCTTTTACAATATATAAATAACAAACTACACGTGTTTGCAACTGTGCCTGTACGTACGAGACGAGTTTAAGTTCTCTAATTTCGACTGGCAGTATATTTGAAAGGTTTATTAATCCTTTCAGTGTATTAACCCTCCCTAGTCACCCCTACTTTATGTATTCAATAAAGTTGTCTGTTATTCTTTCTCTTGCGCATTTTAAATAACCTGTCCAATACAATTATTATAAACGAAAAATATTGGGTACCCACAGCTACATACATTTTAAGAACTGAATATTGAACAAATTGAATTCATGAAAGCAAAAAATGGCCTAACGGCGCAGCCAAACGTCCTGGTCATTACTGGTTTTAATGCCAACATACATGTGCATTTAAGCAGTTACTTGCACTTTTTCCCCTCACGTTTGATTAGTTTCCATCTGATAAAACGATTAAACATGACTGGTACATTAACTGAGAGCTAACTTTTGCAATCTCATGCATGTTGTTTATAATTTTCGGATGAGTAATGTTTCTTGTCATACGTTAAGGAACTTTCTCGGCAGATCGCTGAAGATACCGATGAGATATTCATGAAAATTAAGTTTATCTTGGCCCGTGAGAACGATTAATTCACCCCGTGAGATCAGTGTTTGCTTATTAATTAAATATTTTAATGAGTAATTTCATTAAGAGCGCGGCAAGTGGTTAGCGGGGAGATGTTAATTAATTTTAGATTTATTAATGCGTTTAGTTTTGATGTTTTTTATATAGTTTTTTATTTTTTCAATAGTTATTTTACTGTTCATGTGTCGTCGATAGTAACGGTCAAATTTTGAATCACCGCTCTAAATCTTGCCTCGTATAAGCATAAGCTTTACCTATCTTCTTCACCTTTTCTCTGTCAATATAGAGGCGCATGTACAAATCTTAAATAGAACAGAATATGTGACCACAAATAAATACATTTTTTACAAAAAATCTTTACGGATCTACTAAGGCTCTCATCACGTAGAGGCGCATGTCTGTAAGCTAAGATGGGATGGGCTTTGTTTCCAATAACAATAATAACCTTAATTTCGTCAAAAAATCTTGTTCTTCAATTTTTTAGATCGCTAACAGTACTGAAATATCTTGTTCTGTACGTCAGAGGTAAACTGTATTAGTCACTTTTTTTAGAAAACGAGGCTTTAGCAGTATGTTAACATACTTGACCTCTGGAAAAAGTTTCAGCTTTTAAAACAATCAAAATAACTAGTTTGAATCTGTATTAAGTCACCTACCAGTTGAGAGGTAAAATGTGTTAAAACGACTTAATATAACATACCCCGCAAATTTCTGTACATGAAGTTGTACTTAACACAAAATTTCACGCAAACTTATCTCACTTGGCTGGCAGCTGACATTCTGCAGGTCAGCGTCTTTCCGTGCTGTTGTTTAAATAAGAAAAAATCTTATTTTTCTTTGATGTGTTGATTGGATAATATATTATTACTATCGGTGTGATTTGTTAACAATATGAGTGGAATAAGTGACAGAACTTTAAAAATGTTGGCCATGGTGCATGGAAAACAAAATAGGCCCGACAGTAAGTACCTGTTTAAAATTTAAATGATTAGTAAGTTAGGTTAGGAAGTTTATCAAGTGATTAGGTTTGGTTCATGTTTATACAGGGATAATGTAGGTAAAATACTACCCGTCCTTTTAATTTATTTTGAGTTTGGTTCATCATTTTTTTAGTTAACTGTAGAGGGTGTTTCAACAGATCGGCTCAACATGGGGTTTCTCGGTAACTATTAGAGATACGAAGTTGGTTAAATTAGGACAAATATGCGTATTTATACAGAATTACTATGATATAATGGGACTGCATGTGTGTGTACTTCTAAACGGTAACATATACGAGGTCGGTCAAATAAGAAAATTTTTAGCAAAACGAATGGGGAATATATAAATCCGTTTTTGAAGCTTTTAAATTTATTTTTGGAAAAAGAGATACTTATTATATAAATAAACTTTTTTATGCAAGTAATGTAATTATAAAGAAAATTAAGGTGGAAAATGGAAAATTTTAAATTTAATCTCGATTTTAAGTTTTAATATTGAAAAAACGGCAATTTTAATAAATTTTAAAAATGCGTTCAACATTTTTTACTTGCGTGTAGGTATTTGAATGTGCTAATGCATAAATTCCAAAATTCAAATTTTTTTGTTTCGCAATTTAACTATTCTCGGTAGTTACCGATAGTTACCATGCCGATAAGTTGGATAACTTTTTCAGGGTGGTCTACGTAAGGTGACCAAATTAAAGTATACTGAGCACCACATGAGATTAAAAAAATGTTAAAAATAGGAATTCTATGTGCGTATAAATTATCCTTAATGACAAAATTTTTGTCACTTGCCATTCAGCAAGAAAATGAAATGGCTTCAACTTAAAATCTGTCATTTGATGATACAAACAAAATAATCCATGTTGAGCCCCTAGAAGGAAACATAGGTTCACCAGCGCCTCAGATGCCTACACCATCAGATAAGTCTGATTTGATTAATCAAGATCGCTCACCAAATGTGTCAACCTCACTTGAAAACCCCGCTATTGTTCAAGATAGCAGTTACACAATACACTATTTAGAAGCCCAACAAGAAATTTATAATAAAAATTTATTTGCACCCAATACGCCAGTGCCATTCGATAAATCTGATCCATCAATTGCTGAAGACCCTGCGGGTTCCACTACTTATGAGAATTGCTCAACAAAAGACTTGACTCCACTTACAAATGTAGCTTTTGAGAGCGTGGAAAGTAACAGTGAAAAAAAAAACTGTTTCGAATTACCACAAACAAATAATACAGATGAATTGCTTGCTCAATGTGCCACAACGTCATCGTATAAAAATTCTAGACCGCTTTTTGACTTAGATTCAAACGACTCCTTCAAAGATTGAAGTTACAGCAATAAAGAAAGCTCAGAGGGATCTAAATCAAAAAGTAGCGCACACGAAGAAGAGGAAGAATATAATACGGAAGAAGCGGAAGAAAATCGTGCAGATAAGCAAGGTGTAGAATATCAAAACGAAAATAATGAGGCAGTAAAAAATCAAGAAAGCGTACTAGAAATAAGGTAAACTGGAAGTGTAATATTAGAAAGATGAAACGGTATTCTGGAAAGGAGTATATCACAAAGAAAAACGTCAAAGTTAGAGCACGAAAAATACGACCACCATGCCAAGAAACGTGCCCACGAAAATTTCATCTTACTATTTTTAAAGAGTTTTGGTCTTCCAGCAGAGATATCAATCAAAACCGGCAACTTGTCGCGTCTTCGATTGAAACATCAAATGTGCAAAGAGAAGAAGTCGAACAGGCGAAAAGGCAAAGAATACAACAAATCAGTATTTTTTTCTATTAAAAATGAGAAGATTCGAGTACGCAAGACATTTTTTTTGCATACACTAGATATTTCTCAAAGTTTTGTAAATGTAGCTTTATCCAAAAAACTTTGTGGCGGTATAGTATCGGAAGACAAAAGAGGGAAAAAATTCCACCAAATAAACTTGACGATAGAGTAAGAGATGACGTAAGGACCCATATCTGCAAATTTCCTCTAGTTGAGAGTCATTACAGTTGTGAAAGAAGCCGTAAAAAATACTCTGAGAATGATCTTAACATTACTCGCATTTTTGAGTTGTATAAACAGGAGTGCACTGACAATAAGATTCCAGAAGAACTTGTTGTCAAAAAGTGGCTATATGAACAGATTTTCAACACGGAATTTAACTACGGGTTTAAGCTACCAGACAACGACACTTGTGATGTTTGTGACCATTCTGACATTAGCCAAAGGCTAATCGTACAACATGAATATAATCAGCATCTTCAGAGTGCAAAAGAACAGTACCAACTTAAACAGGAGAACAAAAATAATGCAAGAGTTTGTCACAATACAAAAGTTATCATGGTAGACCTAGAAAAATGTTTGCCTACGCCGGCGTTGACAAACGCTCAGAGCCTTTATTCCCTCAAGATGTGGACTTTTAATTATACCATTCGCGACTCCACAAGAAACTCGACAAGAAATAAGACGTATTGCTGCATGTGGGACGAAACTGTAGGTGGTCGAGGTGGAAATAAGATGGCGTCATGTTTGCTAAAGTGTGCCTTAACTAACGTTTCCAATGATACAGAGGTTTTGACTATATGGCCCGATAACTGCATCTCGCAACACTAACGCTATACTTGCATATTTTTTTTATTTTAAAAAGTATTCCCACATTAAAGATTATAAACCATAAGTATTTGCTAAGCGGCCATACACATCTCGAGGTCGATTGCGATCATTCTATTATAGAAAGAGAAAACGAAAGTGCCACAGTTAAAATTATGACACCGTGGGATGCAGCAGTTAGTCAGAATTGCCAGCCGCTCCAATCCCTTCACGGTAATAAACATGGACATCGATGATTTCAAAAATTTCAGAACATTGATGGAAATCACGACGGCTCCCTTTGTTTCAAGGAAAAAGGCAAGCAATAATGAAGATTTGAAAATATCAGAAGTAGTACACATGCAAGTTAGAGCAGATGATATGGACGTATTGTATTTTAAAAACGATTTTGCTTCTGCTGAATTTAAAAAACTAGATTTTAATCGAAGTTCACTTAGAGCAGAATCCCCTCACGAAGTTCCTTTAGTTCGGAAAACTTCAAAGCCAATAAGTACCAAGAAATTCCAACATTTGCAGAAGGTATTGCAAAGGGTTCCACATATTTTTCATCCATTTTATAATAATATAGCGTACCTAGATAATATTAAAGATGAATAAACTTTCTTTGTCGCGTGAATTACATTTACTTTATTCATCTTTGTGAAACATTTTTACTCTCTATTTCTGAATTTCTTGCTTAATTAATAAACATGAAAAACGATCCTGCATTTTTTAAATCAAAACAATTAATGTCCATTGGGTACCTAATTATTTTAAAATAATACATAAAATTGTGTGACATACAAATTATCTTATTTTACTTGGAGGTAAGTCATGTTAAGTCACCAAAGTATGTTTTAAGTGGCACACCACATCAAATTTACTAGTAGTAAATTATGTTAAGTCACCAAAAACTAATTAATAACTTTTTTCCTAAGTTTAGTAAATGTTCCTACTACATCACCTAATAAAAACTAGTTATGCGAAATTTTAGTTCCTTAAATTATAAGGATATTGAGATACACTTAGTTTACGTGACTTTCAAACGTTTTTTTGCTTTTCCGAATAATTTCGGTTTAGTGACTTGATACAGTCTACCTCTGAGTTACATACACTTAAAGATCATTCTATCGTGTGTGGGCAAAGGAGTATAAGTCAAAATCTTGGGTAAATTAATTTAAGTCACCTGTACTTAGTGTAAAACGTCAATACTTTTTACTAGGGTCGCTATTGAACTTGGACTTCATAATATAAATTACATAAATACCCTTTATTGGTGGGAAAATCAGTATAAGTCGACTTATAAGACATATAACATAGATTTACTTAGATTCTAAGTTTTTGACTTATACTCCTTTGCCTACCCACGATAGTATTAAAAAAGTAAATATTAAATTTTCATCAATGTGGCAAACCTTTATAAAGAAAGAAAACTCAGTCATTTACAACAGAATTTTATTTTTGTTTGGGAATGTGAGTCCTAGATCAAGTATCCAAAATTTTCTAATCCAGAAATTGTGTGATACTGTGGTAATTGAAAAAACCTTAGGTAAAATTAACCCAAACCAAAGGAATAAAGGTTAAATTAGAAGCGCAGGTTAAAAAATAGAAGCTGGTAAGTTGTAAGGGGAAGGTGAGTTAAGGAGTTAAGTCGAGTTGTTAAAGTGGAGGGGATAGGTGATAGGTAATAGAGCCGATTCCTGGTATCCTGGAGGAGGAACTTTCTAATAAAATAACAAATTATAAGACTTACAGGAATCAGAGGTGCCTTTATTGGCATATGTGTACCAAAAATAGCTCCTACAATACCTCCAATTAAAGAGCTCATATAAAAAGAAGGCATTTAAATAAGTTGTATCTTAATAATAAGCATAACGATAAAACTAATTTTTTTATCAAATTATTGCTTATGTATACGTTAACTTTCTTTTTTATTAAAAGAAAAATATTTTAGATTTTAGCATCCAATAGAGAAAAGTCTCATGCTTTCCCTGTTACACAATTCTTTGTTTGTGTTATCAATAAAACGCTGAACTCTGCTGATACTTTAATCATGCATTACGAATATAATTTAGAAATTAAAGTTAAAAGAAATAATATATTAAATATTACATTGCTCTTACTAAGAAACATGAAAACAAAATGTTTAAGTCATATTATCTTGTTGAATTTTTTTGGTAGTCATGTATACGATTATTATTCTGTCATCAGAGTTTATATTATATTAAAAATAATATTAGTTTTAAAACAAAACCTTATTGCACTCCCAAGGTAACTGTTTTAAAAAGGCTGATAGGCAATGAGCATTATTAGTTCTTGCAAGAGCTCAGCGGTGGATACTCTGGCCACGTTGTGGATGAGTGACGGTTGGAAAGTTTAGTCGACTACCATTTCTTACTATTTTTTTTCTATTGGTTATATAGTTATTAAATGTGTCCCTAACTGTAATGTTGTCAACAAATTTAAATTACAATATATCCTTTTTTTCTAACCCTGTGGAATATAGCGAACCAAATCACCAGAACTGTACCCTATTTAGTTTCATAAAAATAATAACAAAAACTCTGTGTGACATACCAACTTGTCTTTGAGACTTACTTTCTATTTTTTTGTCTTCGTTTGCATTGATACCTTTTGAAAAATAACCCGATTGTAGTATGTGCTATTGAAATCATTTGATTTTTGAAATATTCAGCCTAAAACAGCCAGGAGCCCAATTTCTAAAAATATGCGCTGAACACCGCATTCGACTAGCGACGCATAGTCGTCACCGCATACAAAATACAAAATTTCTATTCTTGACTACCCTTCGTTAGGATAGTTTTGTGTCGCATGGTATAACAAAGAATTGTTTATTACTGCAGCAGTTCAATCCTTTCCAACCAATCAAATTTCAGAACAATAAAACAAAAACTGCAATATTGGCTAAAAAATGTTTGATGGTGGTGGGTGGGGTTTTCTGGGGTTTCCTCATCTGTAAGTCAAATGGCAACATCAATCATATTCAAATTGCCCCAAAGCGCCATGGCTTATAATCATAATAATAGCCGCTCCTTTCCTTGGATAAGCTCAGATTTTCGGGTTAAAATTAGGAAGATTATAATTATTAATATTATTATTATTATTAAATAGGTTCAAACATTTTAAAAACCAACTCTGAAGCACGTCTGAATTTTTAAAGCCTTGCGCAATCCGCGTCACAGCATAAGTCACAAGTCATATGAATACTTATTTTTAAAATAAAGTAATTTGTGTCAACGCTTCGTTTTACTGTTACCGGTTCATGCATTCAGTTACGCGCCATGTCGCCATGTTTAATTTCTTAAAAAAAATAAGCAGAGAAATGGAAATACAAACCAGAATGTGATGAATTTATATATGTATTAAGTATTTTGTGTCACAATTAAAAATGTAAACCAGTATTGTTAAAGGATCTACAATAGTAAAGGGTGTTGAGCAGAATTTTACTTCCCACCAGCAGAAGATAACATATCACAATATAGTCCATAGAAGTCGGAGGAAGATGTTAAAAATATGACGGGTAAGCACTTGCCTCGCACAGTTATAATTCGGTATTGACTAAACATAAGGCTCTTAAATGCAAAAAGGGCTTTTAAAATTACATTATGAAAGTATATGTGCATTCTTGATGCCAATTATTATTAGTTTAATGTAAATTTGTCATTTCAACTTTCATACATAAAGGTGTCTTCTAGAAAAGTTCGCAATTATTTTGAATTGTATAGCAGTGAAAAGCAAGAGCTGTAAAGGTAAATACCGACTAATTCATGAAACGCATGCTGGTTCCTCAGACAAACAAACTCGCCCTAACCATCCCCTCTCAAGTTATCAGCCGTCTCGTTCTTTCTAATGCTTAACTGATGCGACAGCTTTGTCTGCATAACATAAAACACAATACCAATAATTCCAATAAATAAGGGCTTAATTATGAAAGAATTAATTAGTTTAAGAAAGGCGATGGTTCCAACGCAGATACTGGTGTAGCAAATGGAAGGTCTCATTAAATCCGCAAAAAATACAGTTCATCGTCTTTGAACACCCAAATTCTCAAAGAACCTCCCAAAACCCCCAACTCGTAAATGTAAATCTCCTGCTCGCTCAACAGACTGAAGTTGACTATTTGGGGGTACGATTTTCTCGTACATTTAACTGGTCCTCGTATGTCCAACGCACTCTTGATAAGATGCGAAAACGATCCAGTCTCCTTGGGGCTTTGTGTGTACGAATGGGGCGTTACAACACAAACACCATTATTCACACTTACCATTTCTTTATCCGACCCGTTGCCGAATATAGGGCTGTACCCTACGGCGTACTTCCCACACACTTGTCTTACAAATTCACCACACTCGAGAGACGTACTCTCAGATGATGCCAATATCTCCCCTCTCACTCCCCCAGTGGAGAAGTTTCCGAAAACATCTCCAACACCCCCATCCTCACACGTTTCCAAACCCTCAGGAAACAATACGTCTCTTGCACGCTGAAAGGCACCAACACATACTCTCGAGACACTCTATGAACCCCATGGCGCCCAAACCAACTTCCACTTTTTCGAAAACAGAAAAGAAAATGCCACAACCTAACCTGAGACTTCTCTCAGACTCCCAAGACCTCCGTTTCATTGCTGGAATCAGCCCCCTTAAGCATCAGATAAACCCTAATTACCCTAATTAGAAAGTCATAATGTATGTACAATATCGTGATTTAGGTTTGGTGGTTTTACTAAATCATATTCCTTACCCTATATTTGAACTTGTCCATTTATGGGGTTGGAAATAGCAAAATTGGCGATATTTTTGGGGAACAATCTGCCACACCGGTCTCACACGCGCACCCAACACCATTAGGAAATAGCCTAGCTAGGTTACTTTTGTAATCAGGGCAGACCACCCTGAAAAGTAGGATAATTACTACAGCAGGGAAATAGGAAAATAAAATGTCCTAGAAAAATGTAAATCACTTATGAAAAAGTCAATAATAAACAAAAAAAAAAAACCAACAAAGATACGCTGAATTATTCTAGTACTTAGGATTATTTAGCATTGTGGCTTTCTTTGGCTTTGCACAATAATTTTAAAACAAACAACAAAATGAAATTAATAAAGTTTTTGTATATTAAAAAATATATATTCCGATCCTTCAACTGTTGTTTTCTATATATTCTGCTCTATATTGTCGTTGTTATGGTTTGGTTGCAACATTAAAGACCTACTGCGTCACCTTCTGTCGCTAATGCAGCAAGGGACTGTCTCAATGCCTACAACGACCCTTCCAATCCTACCTTCTCAGTAAAGTGCAAGATTTCGAGTAGCTACAAGTTAGGTGAATGTCCCTCTTTTATTTTATATGCTCCTAGGAATAGTGCTCTGGAATGCTACACATTTTGTCAAAATGTGAATAGAGATTGTGTCCTCGCAGAATCTGCACTTACTACTTTATGCTACTCTCAGTGTTCAGTGTCCTTTGAGTCAACAATGTCCAGTGAGGACACCTGATACAATACGTAGCCTCTTCTAGCTCAGGCAGATACAGACTTCCGATCTTTTTTGATTACATTTGCCCAGAAGTATCGTAGCCTGTTTTAGCTTCAAGAG